TGTTTCCATATATAAAACATATATATATATGTTTTATATATGGAAACATAAGTATGGTTTACTACTTATATATATATAAGGTGAATTCTGCAAGTTATATATGTATAGTCATGTTAAATATATAGGGCTAATTGCCCTTTTCGTATTATTAGTACCGGTGCTGGATTGTTTTTAGCACCCTGATTTTACTCTTCCTGCGCTCAGTTTTGTTGTGTTTGTCCTTACTTCGTCCTAGGTGGATCCACAGCCTTGATCGAATGAGATACTTTCGAGCACCTTCTTGAGCACTGTCGAATGGATATATGCCAGACGTGGTCAGATATACTGATTCCTTTGACTAACGTTTATGAAAGTACATTAGCATCCCATCACTAGTCATGACATACAAGATTATTTTCTCCTGTATTTCATCGCTAACCAGATCCAGATATCAGCGAGTATATCATACTTTCGCGTTTTTTCCGTACTGGTGCCAACTTCTATCGGGAGTATTTCGTGCAGTTTTTTACAATACACCGGATGTTCGGCGGATCGTTTATTCTAATCGCTATTCTTACTCGCGTATCGATTCTTATCTGAACGATTTCCTACACGGAAATGTTTAGAGCTGAGGAAGGTACTTACCCATATTGTAAAACAAGGAACGTCCGAAGACAGTGCAATACCATCTCAACGTTCTTCAGGCAATGCGTGAAAACGTTATATCATAACTATAGTCGAAGATATATGAGATACTGCAGTGTCTCTGCAAGAAATATGTCCTGAAAGTATTCCCGCGCATCAAAGCCATTATGTTCAAGAGGTCGTCGAGAATGAGAACGTTGAGATCAGAAGTCGATACGCGAGTGAGAACTGCAATCAGAATAAAACGCTAGGACAGCTATAAAGACAAATGCGGATCAACCGGATATCATGATACACGATAGGAAGTGACGTGAAGTAATCCTGATAGAGGTCAGCATCACTATTCAGGACAGGATAACAAGTGAAACCGATAAGAAGCGAAAGTATGATTTACTGGCTAATAAACTCAGGTCAGGAATGAAATGCAGGACCAAAATAACTCCGTATGTGAAGACTTGGGATGAGGTTGTGAAGAACTTCCATGAACGCTACGTGAAGGAGATTAGTATATATCTGATCAAGTCAAGTCAAACATCCTATCGATAATGCTCAAGAAGAGACTCAAAAGCATCTCAGTCCATCCAGCACAAACAACAATACTAAGGCGGATCGAGTATAGATAATAATGCTTGACGCGTGATCACCAATAATGTGAAAAAGTGATTGATCACTGTGTGATACTGACTTGATTTAATATATATACATCATTTAAACGTATGTCTACCAGGAACAAAATCCAGCTTCTGCCGGTGTTGCCACCGCGTAACAGATTATGATGCAGAGGCGAATTGCTTAATATTGTTGGCGCTAAAAAAAGCGAAAATATCTCAGTACAGTACTCAAAGTTTGTAAGTTGAATTTTGAATTAGTATTTCGCACTGAGTCTATTAATAACAAGGAATCGAGTTTAATTACTAGTAGGTTTTAAAAGTTATATTTTATCATGTCTCAGTGTTAGGTTGTTTTCTCACTTGATCTTTGCCTCACAACTTTCATCCCACTCAGACTTTAGTGATGTGTAGAATATTAATTTCAAAGACATATATGAACGTCAGAAATCGTGGTACTGTATCATACATTTTTATCTGTTTACAAAAGTTTAAATCTGTTTTACTAAATACTTATATTTGTATTATGTGTTCTTGTATCTGAATATGAGCGAGTGCTGCTATTTTTTGCAGTGGTTCTGATTTCATTATTTTCAGTAAAACAATGAGATCGGTCAGACGTACTTGCTCATAGGATTCAAACGTTAACACGAATGCGATGACCGATGAATTAGAAGTTTTATCCGCATCTGTTGGTCTCTACGTAAAGCCTTCAGCTAGAATGACTATTACTGTTTCTTTACCACCATTGAAACAACCCGGGCAGTCAATATCTAATTGGGATTTAATGGAAAAAATTAAAAAAGCAATCTATCCTGTTGAAGTAATGCGTTCATAAATTTATTTTTTATTCCATTTTATTTGCCGAGTAGAACTCGAATTTCATATATTTTCTGTGTGTTTTTTCTGATTTTGTTTTATTATCATTATTTCCAATCCTAATCGTGTAATTTTCATTATCATTTTAATCTTTTTCAAAATTAGTTCTCTTCGCTGATGACTTATCTCAGTTGTAGCTATCGTCAATTCGCGTCATGACTAGTACCACTGAGTTGGCTCGATTTGAGGCAGAACTTCCTTGTCGAAAAGCTCTTCTCAAAGTTAGTTATAAATTTAATATTTGAGAGAATATTACCATTTTTTATAGGTATTTCATTTCTTGACGAAGACTTTGATCTTAATATTTATTTCTTAATTAAAATATTTTTGGTATGCACTTAATATAATTGAAATTCTATGTGTTAAATAGTTTTCTTGTCTCGATATATTTGCTCTTCAGGTTGTTAAAGCTCTAGATGGCTATTCCTTAAAAGTTATGGGTTTTTTTGAATCTCTCAAAGTACGAGCGGCAGAAGCGAAGTCAGATTTTCCTACTCGACATGATTGGGATGAATTCTTTAGAAATGCACCTAGCATGAATGAATTAGAATCTGGTAAACGACCAGATACTATATATTTGGCTAGATTACCCTCGAATTGGTTTAAGGTCAGTTTATCTACAAAGTTTTATGATTTTTTTCGTTTATTATTAATAAAGCATGATTTTAGATCATTGACGTTTTGTGTTCTCTAAACTTCGCAAGACTGTGCAGGAATCTCTGATGAAACATTGCTTTATTGTCATACTTCAAACGAGATTATTCTGCATCTAAAATATAGTAAGACAAAAAAATATAATAATGGAAAAATTGTCCAGAAATCTGCAACGTTTTTTTACTTGTTCATCATATTCTTATTAAAGGATTCAGATTCTACTGATAATGCAATGCCCAGTGAACTTGTTCTGAAACATGTATTTGAACGTTTTGGTAAAGTTCGCTATGTTGACATTCCAGTTTGTGATCCTTACAGAAAAAAAATGTCGCCTAAGATATCAGGATTGCGCACTACTGGCTTCTCTTTCGGACAAGTTGGTTTTATATTTTTTTAAAAATTTGGTTTTGTTTATCTTTACGTATCATTTATACTGTCTTCTTATATGTCTCTAAACGATCTTAGTCTTTGAGCTTTAACAGTTAAAAATACTGTAGTGATTATTTCCAGGAAGTGCTGTTTGAGGCATACGTGCAGTTTGAAGAATATATTTCATTTGTTAGAGCCATGGATTTTTTGCGCAACAAGAAGTTAGTAAAAATGATGTCAGATAATAGGATTTTCGAAGCGACTATAAAGGTATAATTCTGATTTCTGCTCTGAAATTGTGCACATTTATGAAAACGGTTCGTTCTAATTCTTGCCTTGAAATATTTCGTGCACCTTTAAATCTACTTTTATTTTTTTATATGCAAGTATTTTAAAATATCTTTAACATAATATTGTTCTGCTTCCAGGTCGACTTTGATAGAAACAAGCATTTGTCGCAAGAAAATATACATGAAAGATTTACGGAAAGAGAGCATTTCAAAAAATTAGAAAAACGGGAAGCTTTGGAAGATCAAAAACAGTTTAAAATTTATCATTCCCTCATTCATTTTTATTACATTTTCGATTTTGACTATTTGTTGTTTCGAACTAAAAGCTTGATTATGTAAAAATCTGAAAATATTCTGTCTTTTCTTTTCATGAATCAATCTTACTTTTTAATTTAGGGGTAATTTCAGTAATATCTCACCTAAAGCTGGTTGTTTTCACACAGAAGTGTTATTTCTTGTAAAATAAGTTTATTTGCTTCTGTAGTTTTGAAATAATAAATGGGTACGAAAATAAAAATCATATGCAGAGGAAAAAATGATCAACAAAGCAAAACGCAAGTTTCTACTCAACATACTCAATCGTGGTTAGAAGGAAGGCATAGTCGAAAAGTAATCTATTTTATTTTAATATTGTTTTTGCTGTCAAATTCAAACTTAATTTTAGCGGCATCAGGAGAAATATGGGGAGAAACGACATTCAGTTAAGAAATCAGATGTAAAAGAAGAAAAAAAATTGTTGGTTATGCGGCGAAAATTAGAATCAAGAAGACTTCTTGCTGTTCTTTTTTTTAGAATTGAGGTTGCGTCTAATTGTTTTTCATGTTTGTCAGCTGTGACTGCTTTATAGGATGACAAATATAATGAACGTATTTATTTTTTCTTGGGAAATTTTAAACTAGCTTAAAATTAGTTGTGTATTATTCAATTTTCATTTTGGTTAAACAATTTTTTAGGAAAGCCTGCGCAAAAAAAGTTCAGAATCAACATTTTACTCGAAAAATTTGAGAAAAACTCAAAGTGGTCTAGAGGCGAAACTACGACAGTCTTTGCTTCAACAGCATGAATTAAGGTTACGAAAACGGGTAAGATATATTCCTATATTTTTCTTGTTATGAATTGATTTCACTCATAATAAACCATGTTCTGCATCAAATGTATCAAACCCAAAAAAAATTATGTCATTATTTGAATAGGTAGGTATTGATTAGAGAAATGAACAAATTTTGTGCATATACAAATGCTTATTTCCCTCGAGGTTGAAAGTTAAATACTCAATTTTCATGTTTAATAAGCATACACTAGTTATTCTCAGCAATTGAAATTATAATTTTGAATTGTAAAAACAAGTCAGATAACAAAGAAATTATCTTCTCATTGTACATTTTCAAGCTCATTTGACTTTTTCCTTTCCTAAGTTGTAGTTGAGTGTTGGTCAGAGATTCATTTCCAGATTGAAACCAAAATGATGTCCTGTGATTCTTGTGCCAAAAACGGAGAACATTCAAAAATGTGATTGGTTGGCATAAATTATGAAACAATAATTCTGGAAGCTTTTATGAATGATCAATAAGAATGGAAGTAACATGAAACTGGCTGGTATTTTACCGTGATGGCCACACACTGTAATGTGCTCACTTCTGATCTATATCAATCCCATAATTTTGTTTTATTAGAGGGCAGTCAATATTCATTACTTAATTAGTATGCATTGGTTGTCTTGTAATGACTTGTATTTATGAAATGAAGTAACACCAACTTTTTGTCTTTTAACTCCCATTAGAGCTGGTGAGAGTGGCGAAGTTTACAGAACGAGGTTTTGCGCGTTTGTCGTATTTATTTGGATCGTTCTGATTTCACGGGCAAATAGTCGAGTGCTGTAATTTAACATTGTAAAAGATTGCTGTCCGCCGCAGGATTCGAACCTGCGCCTACCGGAGTAGACTGCGACCTGAACGCAGCGCCTTAGACCACTCGGCCAGACGGACTACTGATAATCATGTTGTTGTGCTGTCATCAATATGTAGGATAATAGATGTCGGATTTTTTTTGATTTGTTGGGATATAACATTGGACAAATCGCTACCACGCAACTTGGGCCGCAATTATTTTTTCAGGACCGAAGATGAGATCTTTTGTAAAAGTAAACACGTATGTTTGCTACTCATCTGAATTTCTTTCTCATTTTGTTACTTTAATCTGGAATTTATGCAAATTTTAGGGACTATAGATTTACTATAGATTTACACGACGTTTCGATAATTAGTTGGTTTGGTATTGTTTTGTGCTGTGTATATGATTATTAGTACAGATACTGTTGTTTCAGTTGTCATATTCGTGTCATTCATCTGTCTGAAAAATGTCAGTTTGAAAAGTTATTATCTTGTTCAGGCAAGGATGAAGCCTTTGTCGTTGAAAGGTCATGATCGTGCATTAACTAGAGTTCGTATTAATCGAGAAGGTGATCTATTGTTCTCAGCTGGAAAAGATAAAAGTCCTTGCGTGTGGTATATAGAAAATGGTGAACGAATCGGGACATATGATGGTCATAATGGTGTGATATGGGATATCGACGTTTCTTGGGATACGCAACATGTCTGCTCCGCTTCTGGTGATGTCTTCGTCAAGGTTTTCATTCACTTCGCATATTCTAGAATTGCCTCACTGTTTTTAGCACGATAAAATAGAATCTGTGCCTTGGATTCAAAGTAATATAACAATTCGAAGAGTTATGGAAGAACAAATGTTTTGTTACAACTGTAAGATGTGAAATAATGTACTTGGCTTCTGCTGTATTTTCAACTTAGTTCTAATTATGGTAGACCAAATCTGAGTAGTAAATTGTATTTGTTGTTTTTTCTAATTCTTATTTGAGTTTTTTTCCTCTTGCTATCGTTAGAAATATCCATTTCTCTCGTAGTTATCGTATTTCAAAATTTTCAATACTTCAGTTATGGGATTGTGAAACGGGTGAAGCGATCAATTCAATTCAAACGCCAACAGCAGCTAGATCGATCAGTCTGTCTTACAGTGGGAATCTGATTGCTTTCACAACTATAAAAATGACTCAAAATATGGTGAGTGCATTAATTAAATACGAAGTTTTTATTTGTCAGTGAAAAGAAAATTCGTCTGGGTATGAAGTGCAAAATTGTATTGCAGTTAAATCAGAATGCCTGTATCTCTTTTTAGGGATAGTGAGTTGGTTTTGCAATGTTAGCGACGATCTAAAAAATTAAAAAAATCTTCATGTTTGTAGTGAAATTGAATTGATAACACTATTAGTGCTTGGTAAAAGAATGATGTCGGAATCATAATTGAAGGCTTTTTTTTTGTTTCTATGAGAGGCTGTTTTTAAGGCTTCCCTATGTGTATATGATAAACGAGATGGAGCACAAATGAAAGGCGAAAATCAGCCAACATTTAAGAAATCTCTTCTTACGCAGGCTAATTCCTGTGTGTGGACTCATTTAGACGATACTGTGTGCATAGGTGGTTTTTTTTTCTCTAAGAAAAGCTGGCATTGTCATTTTTGTTAATTTATTTAAACAGATAAATTAGATTGTTTTCTTCTTCAAAAGGTATGCTGAACAGTTCATTTTCAAAAGCTTTTTGCACACAGCAGAAAGCTTGATTAAAAAATGAGTAGAGGTTTTAAAGCATTAATTCCTTCGTAAAATGTGCGTATCCTTTTTAATTTTCAATTAAAGGTAATGAGAAAGGAAATATTCATCAATATGATATACGCAAAGCAGATGATATCGTAAATTTTAATGATGAAGCTCATAAGTTTCAAATTAATGATATGCAAATGAGTGTTGATCAGTGTTTTTTGATAACGGCTTCAAAAGATAAAACAGCACGTTTATTTGGTGCAAGAACATTAGATTGCTTAAAAACATATAAGTAAGTTGCATTTTTGATAATTTATAAACTCTTTTGTAAACAGTATGAGTTTTTAAAACAATGACCTCGTTATTAAACTTCGATTATTATCATAGTTAATGGTTTTATTATTGTGTGATTTTTTTCAGGGCTGAACGTCCAGTGAATTCAGCTGCTATTTCACCAACTCGAGATCATATTATTTTGGGTGGTGGTGAAGAAGCAATGAAAGTTACTCAAACAACAACATCTTCTGGTCACTTTGAAGCAAAGTTATATCATTTAGTGAGTTTCGAAGTCTTTGCCTTTATTCTAAAATATGTAGTTTCAAAGCATTACGTATTAAAGATTTAATTTAGAAGTTGTGGACGACCATTATTCTGTTTCTTCAGGTTTTTGAAGAGGAATTTGCTCGTTTCAAAGGTCATTTTGGTCCAATAAATACTTTGGCTTTTCATCCAAATGGTAATGGTGTTATATCAGGTGGTGAAGATGGCTACGTTCGTATTCAAGAATTCGATTCAGATTACCTTAAATTTGATTATGATTTCTAATGATATGTTTCATCTTGTTGCTGAAGAATAATTAATTGTACGGAGTATGAAAATTTTCCTCAACAGAACTGAAACCATTATTACAAACTGAACCCTACTTGAGATTACAGTCAATTTTTGGAAAATCTTCTTTAACAATTTGAAATTCTTCAGTTATTGCATCAATTATACCTTAATATTCTTATTTTCATGCATGAAGTCAAATGGTTCATTAAATAGTCTGAAAATCCGGAGATATTTCAAAGCATGGTTAGAAAAAGTTGGCGGGCTTTTGCTAAATTAGATCGAGAAAAATTAATTTGGTGTGATTGCTGATGTTCAATTGTACTAAATTTTATATCTTCGATGAATGGTGCAAATTTGGTAAACAGCAAAGAAGTCGCTGCGTCCAAACTATTTTCAAAAAGACGTTTATTGTTGTAAATCTTATGTCATAATGTCAATTCTTGGCATGAAGTTATATATTATTTTATTTCGTTATGGTCGGAAATTGTTGCTTTGTAATGCACTGTAGGTGTTGGTACGTTGGGAAGAGATTTTTGCAAATGCTAATTCACTGAGAATTGGTGAAATGACTATGATGTTTTAGAAGTAGACGATGAGTTAGGGTTTATTCAGGTAAAGTAGATCATTGTAATAGCAATTGCGGAACGTCCCTCAGCTTCTTGATAGCTTTATTTCAATGTTTGGATTGTTTCATTTATTAAATGCGTATTTCGAAGTAGAAAAGCATCCTTAATTATTGCTACAAATTATGTATTTGCTTGAGTGTTTATTTAGTCGGTTCTCTTTGAAATAATCGTTCGGGAAGTTGTCATGAGTTTTCTGGGTGGTCTTCGTCTAATTCAAAAAACAAGTGAACATTCTCTCATCCGACTAACAGCAGTCAGATAAATGAGATAAGTGATTTGTTATCTGCAATAAACATAAGGAAGTTACTCGGTACATATTTCAGACAGGCTGGAGCAATATACGTTTTTAAATTAATATTTTGCAAACTAGAGTATTTCTGGTTTTTTTAATGAATAAAATAAGTTTGCAGGCTATGAGCTAGTAGTAACTTGTATTTTGGTGACATGACAATGATTTACTTCAATTATAAGATCTGGAAGGTGGGTGATGTTGAGTGGTCAAATTTATTGTGTAACATCCAATATTACAGTGAAGTTTACTCAATATTAAACGATAATTCTGTAAAGTATTTCGTATTATTCCACGAAATATTTCCTCAGACACTTGCAAGCTGTCAATTAATGACGTTGGGGAGTGTTTGTATTACTATTTCTCATTGACTTTTTGATATGAATATGAGGATTTGTATGAATGAAGTACGTCATAAATGTCATCATTGAAATAATGTATTTTTTTTTCTTGTAATTACCAAATTTCAGTTCCAATACAAAGTAATAAAGATGTTTTCGCTTTTGTCATCAAGAACTTAATGAATTTCTGATATCTCTTTAATACATATACACTTTCTAGTTCCATCAATGAAAACTGACTGCGCCTTCACTAATTGATCTTCCTGCAAATCATACCTTTTAATTTGACTATGTTTCCAAGTTAAAATTCGGATAAAATTATGAATTAGTTGTATTAGATATTCTTTGTTCACTTTTGCAGTTTATTTGCATAATTTGGTGATATTTTTGAATAACTGTAATAAGTGCATATTGTTTAAAGTTTAATTGGTAGAAAGTTGATAAAATCAAAAAATTTGGATTTCGTTCTTATTATTACAGTCAATAGCCAAATCTATTTTTAGCTAATTGTTGCGAATACTAATTAAAATGATATGAGTTACAATATGAATAAAAGATCGTGAATATTATTTTAATTCATGAAAAGCAATTTAAATTTAGAGCAAATAAGCTGTAGGTTTGCTGATTTAGTGATCAAAGGTATATTTGAATAAAAATGACTTCTGGCAGTATGTATTGCAATTCAGTTGTCAGTCAGGAAAGGTCACTAGATATCAGCAAAGTATGATTTACAGCCGGTCAGTTCTGCTTTTGCTAACACCTAAAGTATCTCTAACAATTTATATATAAGTACCGCTTAAGTCAACCTCTGAACTTTTTGTTCATCGATAAGAAATAGTTGATTTTTTCTCTGTTCAACAGTCAAAATGTTCTTTAGCTTTTTCTAACAGAAAATCAGAGCAACAAATATTTTTCAATGAAGTCTATCGCTCACAAATTTTAAGCTTTGTAAAAATTAATTTAATTTTTGCGCTAATAAATTTTGGCAGTTATACAGTTGATATCAACGAAGTATTCATTTATTTATATCATCAATCCGATTTCCTGTACAGCAAGATTTTCTGCAGTTACCGTATAAATTAACTTTCTTTATAGTAGTAGTGACACTGTAGTCTATCAGTTGATATTAAGCGGAATATAATAATATAGTAGCCATAATAATATTATTCTAACACTAATAAAGATAGTAATGTAATTTAATCATTCTTGATTACTAGTACAAATGCAGTATGTTGTCCTCGGTATGCCAATTACAATAATATTTATTTGATTAATCAAATCCTCAAATTGTAAACACTGACAAAAATAGCATCGAAATGGCTAAAGCATTACTTTAATAATTGCAAAAATCAAAAACATTACTGTAATAATTACAAAAATCATTCATGTCAAAGGACAGTGAAAATTGATCCCCACAGATATCTTTAATAGAATTATTCTAAGCAAGTAATTTAATGGTTTGATATCATTAACTCGTGCATCGTGTGTGCATCGTCTATGTCACAAACAATGTAATAATTATTATCTACCTGGGCTAAGGGATATTCATTCCCGCATTTGCTTTATTCTCTTGTTAAAAGTGAAAAGCCGCGATAGACTTCAAATAAGGTCATTTTGGGTGACAAGAAGTCAGCCAAGAAAATGCGCTAATGGAACAGAGCAGTCGGCGTTTGGGAAGTAATGCTAGTATATAATTTGTGCGTCAAATTATAGCACAATTTGTTTCATCGTATCCATCTGGGCTACATTTGTTCTTATTAATTTAATCTCCCATAAGAACTGAATGTAAGTCATGAGATGCTTTTACTAGCAAAGAAGTTGCCAAAAAGCTATAAATAGAGTATATTTCTGCGAATTTTGTTCTTGTACTTTTTTCATTGGTGCAATAGTAATGCTCGACATCTTTGCCGCGAAACGAATCTGCCCGCGAAATGAATCTGAGCAATAAGAAAGCAAGCTAATTTTCTAGCTCAATTAAAAAAAATTTAATTCAATCTAAATGATTTGCAACGAAACTTACTTAACGCAACTGTGCAATGAAAGTATTCTTTGCACATTTCAGTTGTCATTTTCAGATTTCCAGCATACTTTTATGAAACGAATAGCATATTATTTTATGCTTTCCACACTAATGCAATATAATATAAATCTGAAATATATCCAATTTACATTCTTTTTCATTCAATTGATATTTGCATAATTGACAGCGAACACTTTGGTTACTTTGAGAACAATTTTGCTAATAAATGATCGGATTTGCGAAGCTTCCCTCAGAGAGCGGAGAAGCACCAATGCTAGAATGGTACTGAGCTGTGTGAAATAGGAAAATCAGAAACAAACGTCTTCCGCTGCAAATTAAAGAAATGTTTTTTGCAATAATAAGACATTTATTTGCATGGATGCTTGAGGTAATAGCCGCCGCTCTCTCATTGACCAATTAAGGCGAGCATTTACTCGTTCACTTCAGCATCTGCCTGCTACTTACACAATGCACCTTCACTTACTCGTCTCATAGTAAGCCTTCTGAATTTATCTATCACAGTTTCTGGATTTCAGTCTTTTCATTGCAACTTAATTGATATTTATTTATCTAATTTACGGCTAATTTTAAGGTTGATCTTGAAATCTATGCAAATAGATTTGAATGATATGCAATAAATATCACTCATTGCATGTAAAAGATAACTATTTTGCAAAAATTAGTCTCAATTTCAGTACACTTCAGAATTTAAACAAAAATAAGTGTAAATCATACAATTTATTTAATTTTTAGGCTAATTAACTCCTAAAATCGAATTTATTTACTCTGTATGATGTATTTTTTTTCATTTATTTGATATTTTCATCCTAATAATTAACCTTTTTAAGAGCACATAAATCTTATAGAATTATACATAGATGACGTTAATTTAATGATATAAAGCTGCTGAAATAACTTTCTCCGATTCCTTTGAGATTCTGACTTTCTTGCTAGCTTCTCCCCGAGTTCTTTCAGAACAATCTTTCTTCTTCTTGAAACCATTTATTTGCTTGTTTTTGCTATTAAAACAAATTACCTTCATGTACGCATCAATGAGCAGCTCTCAATAGAGGCTTTGGCGGACTGTGCACACTTTCGCCGGCTGCAGTCCGTACAGTTCAGCCAAGCACATCCTTACTCAGCTAATTTTCTTGAACTTAATTCAAGCTAATCAAATCAGAACACATGTCATTTCATGCTTAGCTTATTGAATCATACGCTACTTCCTGCTTCTTTTCACTTTCATCTGCTTCTATTCTAATATTGTTTGTTATTCTCTTTGCCACTTTTATTCATCCATTCAGTTTGAATTTCAAATTCAAATCGAACAAGTTTTTTTATTCTATTGATTTTTTCCCCATTACAAAGAAGTAAATTCTTTTATTTCAAACTTTAAAAAGTCTTAGTTTCACCAAACTTTAGGCAGTTATTGAACAAATTTTGATCTAAAAAGTGTGATTAACTCAGCGTGCATTCATTCCCTCACCAAACAGTTCATCACCACTATAAATCTAACAAGTTGAGTTGAACAAAAAGTTGGAAAAGTCTTTTTTTCAGCAAATGCATTTTGCTGCCCTTCTCAGACTTGTTGTTCAGAACCTAAATTAAAAATTGTGCTCTTAAATTTCATGCTTAAATGATGACAAATAATGCACAATATTTAAATTAAAAAAAAATAACTGAACAAAATTCTTAATTAACGAAAATTTTATCCTTTGAAAACAATTTTCTAAGAAAAATTTGACATCTTTGTTGCTGTCATATCGTTTGCATTCCTTCCTTATAATCCACTAAAATATCTCAAATTACTTTTTTTTACCATTTTCTTGGCAACTCCATCAGAAATAATAGTATAATAACTATCTTATTACCCTCCTTTTTATTTGAGATTAAATGTCAGCACACACAAATACACACACACACACACACATGCATGTACACACATGCACAAGCACACATGCACATCTTCCATATATGGAAGCACCATACAATGATATGTACTTAAGATGTAAATATTAAATTATAAACTTTGAGTAGTCAGTGAGATGAATTTATTTGAAGTTTTATTAAATAATAAATCCAGTAATAAATCTGTTAATCTGATATCGTTTATTCAAATTAAACCGATTGCTTTAAACACAAAATTTTCATATAAGTTGAAAGTAATCAATCAGTTTGCTCATAACTTTTGTTCTGTTTTTGAGGTGATAAATCCTTGCTGATAACTTTGTCACAGAGAAATAATAGAGTGAAGTTTGCATTCCATCAGCTTGTATAGATACATGACTGTTACCCTTTGAACTGCAGTAGTACGAGAAGGATAGTTGGGTCACATTTTGAAGGATAAAATTGTATTTTATCATTTGTGAGCACATTTATTTTACTTCAGTAATCACGATTCGTAACTATTTTGTTATGGCTGTAATTGACGTCTAGACGCTATCAAAACTTTTTTAATTTGTTTTGCATAAATGTTTTGATGGATCAGTTAACAAACTTATTTATGAAAATATATCAGTAATCACTTTTACTCAATTCGTTTTTATGTCAATTTCTGGGTCATTTATTCAAGATTCCTTCTCAGATTTCTTAATGAAAGCTACTTGCCAAACTTGAATGATGATGGTTTTGCTGGATAAAAAGCACCACCGCTTACATTCAAAGCCTCAAAATGATTGTCAGAAGCAACTGTTTAATTACTTCAGTATGAATAGAGATTGTCAAAGAAAATTATTTTGGATTTAACTTCCCTTTATAAAGCACACGTGACTTCTACTTGACTTACGCGACCTTACACGATTAAATTTTATTTTTTGGCAATTATTTTCATAAAGATTGAAGTAAAATAAATGTGCTCACAAATGATAAAATTTTATTGCAGTCTGTCTTAGAGCGCTTAATCGAACTAGAAATTAAGGAGATCTGCATATTTTAGGATTTCTCCAAAAAATGAAGTCCTTCAAAAAATTTCAACGATTGCTTCAAAAGTAACACTGCATTGATTACCCATTATTTAATGACTTTTCAATATTTTCAACCCAGAGTTTTAGAAGTGACAGATTCAGATAGAATACCAAGTTCAAAGCTTTGGCCAAATTTAAGTAAATTAATTCTTAAGTAAATTAATTCTTAAATATACCTTACTTTTGTATTTTACTGACGTTTCTCTCTATGTTTTCGTGAGTAAATCTTTAAAAAATTTGTAAACTTTTTGGTGTATGGTTTGTTTGACTGTTCTTAATGGATTAAAAGATGAATGCATGTTTGCCAAACAATATTATTACAGTTGAAAAGCACTTCAGGCACAGATTATGCCTTCAACAAATAATGCTATAAATACAATATCAGCATGTAATACAACGACTTTGCAAAATAGTAAAAGTAAATTAAAAAATTGAAAAAATCCTACAAATTATCAAAATTAGTGCAGTATTTACGTTAATATAAATGAGAAAAAGCAAGCATATTGCATTTTTGAGCAGGAGAAATAATGAAATCTAATCTAGATGATAAATATGATATGATAAAATAATATATACTTATCTTGCCATATCACTAATTAGCCTTATGTATTTCCAAAAAGAGATCACAAAATAAAAAAGACCTACAGAAGATGTCATCACAAATATATTTGGCAAAATTTTTGTAGGAAAGTTTTCTGAATAAAAATCTGAGTTCGTAAACTCAATCACCTCAGCTTTCATGGACTTAGCATGATAATGTCACATCACACTGACATTATTTGCAATAAAAAGCATCACTGCACTGCGGAAAAATACAAAACAAACGACTACGCGCTGAGTCCGTGCAAGGAGACTTCTCTATCACAGAAAGAATGCCTGGAAACTGCTTCATTAGCAGTTGTAATGGAGACTGACATATTTGCATTTTAGAATGCGTGAAAAAGACGAATTTGTCTGAGTATAAATATGAACTACTTTTTCCTTTTACTAAATTCAATTAGCGAAAGAGTAGACTGCTAAGAGTGTCAAATATTACAAATTGTAAAAGCACAAAAATTTGCATGCATTTTAATTTCTGGAAATCAAAAAACCAATTTGAATAGAAAGGAATGAATGATGAAAATTTACTGGACAAATACTAAATGAATTAAAGTTAAAAGAGGTGAGTGAAGACTAAACAAATACTTAAATACTTAAAATCAATTGCTTAAAAAATTTCAAAAAATAAATATAAAATTTGCTCAAATTTATAAATTTTCATTTTTTTACAAGCAAGTAAGATTCAATTCAAATATCCACGTGGGATCACTAATAGTAATCAATAAATGCAAGATGAAAACATTAATATGAACATGAATACAATAATAAGCACTGATACAAAAATAAACCACAAAAATGATATGTATCCCTGGACAACTCTTAATCATAAAAGCATATAACTTATTAATTAAAAAGATACATTAAAAACTTAGTATTTTACGTCATATGAAGTCGTAATGAATTATTTTATTTGTAGATATCCACGCAAGCAAATTGTAAGTAAAGCAGCTGTGCTAACCACAGATTATTTCCTGTAAATAATTTTGCAACTATATTTATAGTCTTTTAAGACTTTTGATCTCATCAAATTTCGGTTTCTCGTTTGAATACCAACTTGCATATTGAAACTTCGCAAAATTCAAAAGTCTTAAAAAAGTTTTCTAATTTCCAGAAAATTTAGCTAAAGGTTATCAAGTATTAGCATGTAAATTGAGCAAAAAAGCAAATGAAATCATTTTGGTTTTTGGTTTAAATAAGCTTGAATACTTTTTCACTCAATTAATTTGCTAAATTCGACCTTATCAGAAAAAGAACCCATGTCATTAATTAATCAAAAGTGAAATAAAGGAAGTATTTTTGCGCATTTTATTCGCTGCATGATGGTGATGATAATTCTGATGCATTCACTTGCGGTGAAAACTCGAGGTCTGTATTCATATTTACTGTATAATGAGAGTTATTCGCAGCATTGATATTCATCATATTAGCATATCCGTTGTGCATATCAGTTGCCAAATCCGTATAATGAGGTGGTGGTGGCGGTGGCATCTGTAAACTAATTTTGTCAAATAATTTTTCAATAAATGCTGAAAATACTCGAAAATCACAACATGCAAACAAATTTAAAGTCAAATTTTAATAATTTAAAAAGTAAATCCGCTCGAACAAAACTTAAAAAACTTACATTAATGTATTATAAATGCAACCAACTTCTCAAATTTCTGGTTAAAAATTGTCTCTCACTAAATCGAATAAGCCATAAATAACAACGAATAAAACCAAAAAGATAATCAGCAAGTGATTCTTTTATATTATCCCCAAAAGTTAAAATATTGATTGTTAAAAGACTATTTTGCATTACCAAAGTCAATTCATTTTCGGTATATCGAGTGCGTTGATAACTACCAAAGTAATAATTGTCATTCAATCAAATGCTAGAAATGATGTAAGGAAAAGAGATAAATTTTGAAAAAGAGCTGGTTATTTGGTGCCCCACACTTCTGATTTCGAACAAAATGTTGCAAAGGTTCGAGAACTTTCATAGGATGTTTGCGCAGCTGTTAACAGAGGTGAGGAATTACAGAAGCAAAAACAAAGAGTTCACCGCATTAAAAAAGGTCAAAGGTCAAAGTCAGGTGTCTATAAAGATACTGTTCTTTGTTTATTTAATCATGTGAAATTCACACAAAAAATATGCCTCGTAACTTAATTTATCTTTGATAAACTATGAATTATACTGCAAGAACTACTATGGCTCTATTTCAGAAATACCAAATTTAATTATCTGAAAATTTGAATACAAGTTTATGGTTATCATTCGAAGAATGAAGCTTATTACTAATCTTAGATTTACTGAGAAATAAGAGTCCATTATAGACTCTCTACAAATTTATTTTGAAGGGTTATAAATTTTGATTTGAACAGGAATTCATGTCATACTATTTGAGCATAGGGCAAAGGGTGATGTAAAGTTGGTGGTAGCGGTATATGTTGAGGATGCATATGAAGGCCCCTTGGTTGACCATCCACAGATTCAATCCCCGACCAGATAGTTGGATTCTGAGAAAACTGATGAATGTCTACGGGTTGGATTCCGATCAAATTCGGATCATTGTGAGGTGTTGGCGAAGCAGCAATCAAAGGGCCAATTCCGTTCAATCGAACTCCCGTGATCGCACGTTCCTGAAGTCATTATTATAATTTTAAAATAAAAGTAATGGTAATTTTAGTATTAATAATGATGCTCATATAATTATCATGCTGATGGTAATGGCAACAATAGCACGTAATTAATGATGACGATAATAATAACAATAATACTAATAATAACACAACAATGACAGTAACAATAATGACAATATCACAGTAACTATAATTATAATAAAACGATCTATCATTAGCCACTGTTGCTTTCTCTATTACTTTGACAATAACAATGACAGTGATGGCTATTTTAGGCATTTTAAAAACAAAAACAAATCACTTTGAAGCTTTATTCGTTAAATATTTTTAAAACAGATAAAGTGTCATCACGGACTTCAAGTGTTTTCGGTAAGAAAGCAAGCAGAGACGAGACGTGTAATTAATGTCTGATAAGTTTTACAGTTTGCTTCTAAATAAGACTGTCAATACTTGGATAACTGCCTTCGATCTTCTTGTAAATTAACAAAGTCAGAAGTTATAATTGAGAATTAATCTATGAAAAACTGCTAAATGTACAAAAAAGCACATTTAAGAAGCTGAAATATTCATTATCTCAGTTTAAATCCCACATTTTAGCTAGGTCTGATTTGAAATTTGATTTCAATTTTCCCAATAATTCATTGGAGTAATTATTTAAAATTCTGCATTCAAACTAGTACAATCTTTTCAACCGTACATAATTACTTTTTACAAACAAAAGTAACATCACATCAATAGTGTCAGTTATTCGGCAAAAGTGATTACCGAGGCAGAAATCACTCTCGAAAGCATTTACAAACACCAAGCTGAATTTATCGAAAGTTCACTTGCTTGTATTTTAGCAACATCAATTAGCTCATTCATTTGCAGAAAAGTAGTCAAGAAAGCAACGATTTTTAAGGAAATGTATGCATTTCCTTCCGCTTGGCTGAACCAAATGTGCACTGACCGCTAAAACGCAAATTTCATCTCAATTACGGTATTCCAATTTAGGCCACGAATTATGTGACTAAGTTTTTGATTTGAATAGTCTAACAACCGACACAAATTTCAATGCAGTGATTCGTTCGAGTTATTTTTAGCTCACTGAACCGAATAAATCAGCTTTTCCTGTTAAAAAACGATAGAAATCCTTTCAAGTTTGTAAATGTTTGCTAAAGCATAAGCAGATTTCTTTCTATTAGATTACAGGATTGCTATCGTTTTTCAGCTTTTTTATTTGAAATCACTCTGAATAATAAGCTAGTCTGAATCACAATACACTTATGAAAAGTAATTCAGAGTGATTTCAAATAAAAAACTAGAAATTAGCTGAAATCTTTGGTAAAAGCAAAAATTGTATGAATGTCTCAAAAAATCTTTGTTTGAATTTCAAAAACCATTTCTGAATTATATTACAGCCTAGTAAATATAGAAAAGCTTTGTTGATGAAGACTATATGAATTTGGCCAAAAATTTCTACCAAAGTACTGAATTAAGAACTAAAGTTTTATTTTATCAACAAGTTTAAAATGTTAGTAGTCAACGGACAGTATTTACCCTAAAAAATATTCGCTAAATTTTCCTTATTTTTCTTCTTAATCTATCTATTAGTCAAGTGATGTGCTGTCTTCTCACCTTTAACCCTTCGTGTTTAGTCAAACTGTTCTTGTTGAAAGTCCTAATTCTTCATTCAAAAAAAAACCTATACGTGAGTATTTTCTTCTGTTTCAAAAGAAATCATTCCCAATTCAAGCGGGCACTTTAGTCATGAAAAATCTACCGTACTTTCAAGTCAAAAGTGCACGATACAAGAAGCTTTCTACTGTTGAATTCAAATGAATGGTTTTCGTCTTTTACTTAATCTATTATTTTTTAGACCTGCTCTCTTAATTCACTGGTTTTTATCAATATTTCGAGCTTATAAGAGGATAATTTGATTTTATGACGATTCTGGAATTATTTTTTCATCATTTTTCATGATTTTAAATTTTTTCAAACTTAAAGTTTTTACTTCAAAATGTTTCGAATGCTTGAAAGATGTTAATTCATCTCATTACAGTATCACATAAGATCCAACTTATTTCTAAGTTAAAATAATTAAATTAATCCAGTACTATGTGCCATCACAGGAAAATCAAGTGATGATGAACGCGAAAAACTATTGCAATTAGTTTAAAGTTAAAAGCAAATTGCTCGAAATTATATGAAAAAAAGAGCCACTTAATTAATCACTGCAAAATTATGGACTGGTATTTCCACTAAAAGGTCAAAAGTTCAAGGTATTTTCAATGAACAATAGTACTTTCTTGCCAAAGCCTAGGGTCATGTAATTTTTCCCGCACTTCAAAATCTCTCCAGATTTGTTTGACCACAAATATTATAAAGATCGACCATATGGTTGAATGTTTAAGCAGATGATCATGATTAGAAATAAGCTTCTCCACAGCAGATGCTCACCTCATCAAAAATTTCTTTTTTCCTACTTACTAATGTTAATTTACTTCCATTTTTAAAAACAATAAGGATTTCATCTTATCTAACTTCTATTCACATAATTTTACTGGTATTTTCGACTGAAAAAGATATATTTGGACAAGATATGAGTGGATTTCAAATGCATAAGTTGGAATCCGATCTTAAGCAATTATAAACTTTTTCGAAAAACTTGCAAAAAAAATTATAGCGAAAAAGTATAAAAGTAATCGCAAATTGTCTAGGATTTTAAAATTGCTAGCCCATATGGGGGGAATTCTCATAATTTACCCAAGTTGACATAAGCTAGGAAATCCGTTGTTGACATTCTCAAATGACTTCTTGGCTAGGGTCATTTGAGAACGAACAAGATGATAAAGATCTTTTCACAACAATCCTTCATACACATGCATCCTTTTTCACATCAATTCAAGTGTTAACAATTTGAGAAAAAGTGTACGAAAATTATTTTGACATTATAATTCTCAAACAAGTAATCTATTTTTCCCTAATAACTATTTCATACTATTAGCGGCAAGTAGGGCCATAACAGTAACGGACAATATTAATAAAGATAATAATATTGATATTAATTAGTACTAGAAAAAATATAATAATAATAATAATAATAATAATAATAATAAATTATGAATTAGCAAGCAAGATAAGATGTTGCCAGGGTGACGGTAAATAAACGAAAACTAAAAAGTAATATTCAATATGGACTGCATCCCTCCTCTTCAAATAATTTATGAATAACTTTCATCTAAAATTGATGAATTGCTACTTGCTTCCACTTTCCACTTTTCAAATTGATACTTAAGCCAAAAAAATAAGGCAAATGTGTTTTTAAAGATATTCACTGCAAGAAATTATTTAGTGAATAGTGAGATTTTCATGTTGTGGTTCAAGAGTCTATTATGATAATTTGCGTGATTATGTTTCAGCACAGCGACAAAGTTCAAAAATAATCCAAGCCACAGGAGATAAAAGAAAGCATGAAATAAAATTTCTAAATGTCAAAGGTCAACACTGAAAAGATCAATTTTGAGTTGATATACTCAGTTTTCCCACCGAGTCTTTTACATATTAATTGGATGCAATCAGAAAATAACTTCAAGTTTTTATTCTCAATAAAAAGTGCACACAGTGGATTTATTTCACTAGCCAAAGTATTAAAGTTCACTTAAAATTAATCCAATCAATTTTTTTTACGTAAACATGTTGTATTTTTTCAGGCAAATGCAAGCCTCTTATATACTTGCGTTATTGAAACCGCAAGCAGTTCTCTTAACCATTACAATATGTATTCCTAATATGATAATCTATTCAAAACAATACCAATGACCACAGCGATGCTAGCTGTGATATTGGATGGTACTACAATAAAAGCATCGCAATAGCTGAATATTACCCACTAATATGCAAGCTGATCGTTTTTTAACATGAAATTAAGTTCACTTCTCATAAATTCACTTAGGAAAATTGTCGACTATTGCCACCGTACTTCAATGACATCTTCCGGCAATTATCGAAATTCCACTCACAAATTCAATTAAATGATCGTAATTCACAATCAACAACAATGTCTTATTACTCTTCTTCTCATACTTGCCAATTAGCAATTAATGAACAGTTCACCTTCTTATTTTGACTTACATATTTACCTGTCTCATTAACACACTCACATAATAAATGTCAGCATTCCCACTGAACTTATACGGTAATTGGCATCAACCATTAATTTCACTCTCAAATTTCACTTTAAAATATAAAAATTCAAAATGTATCTCATTCTAAATTTAAAGTAATTAAACCAGTTTATAAATGCATTTCAGAACAAATAAAAGATATTTATTTTTAAATATTGCAGTTTTAACGTCAAACTTTACGATTATCATTTAAATGATTAGATCCATATAAGAATGTTAAGGAATGAAAAAATTGAAAAATTTTTTGTGGTATCGAAGTATCAAGAAGAAGAGTTTAATATTTTAGACTTTATAGCTTAAGATACTTCCAGGAAGAGACCAAAATTACACTTGTCAATTTTGCATTGTATATTTATATGTTTAACGAAAAAAACTCGTAGCATAGCTCTATGACTGCATTTAAAATATTGTATTAGCTGCATTAATAGTATAAGATTAAAAAAAGCAAACTGTGTAAAATGGCAACTTCACGTCCAATTTTCATTCCGAAAAAAACTTCAAGAAAAGAGCAAATTTTTGAGTAAAAAACTAACAGTCTCTGCTTTTTCTTCCATATTTTTCATAGCAATTTGCTTTTTTTTATCTTTGCAACGTTTATTCTGGAACCAAACACGTATAACACGAGGACTTAAGCCTGAAAGTGATATAAGTTTATTTTCACTCCATATTTAACTCAACTTTCAGCTGAGAAAAAATTGTATAAAATTTTTGAATTTTGTCTGATCTTACTTATCTGAAAGGTTACAAATAAAACTAGTCTAAACTAATCATCAAACATAACCATAAATTGTGTTTACATAAAAAGTGTCACATGTAAAAGTGGCAAAATAATAACTCGAAATTATAGTATACTTACCAGTCATTTCCACAAGGTGCTCCTTCATCATGGCATCTGGGCGGGCGTTGGCTGCATAACATGCTTTCAACGTCAACAGCTGCTTTTCGTTCAAGACTGTGCGAACTCTTGTTGACTGCAATTTAAAATTAATATTTCTGTCAAAGCGCACAACATTTTATCAAATTTTGCACTAAAAAATGGCACCAAAAATGTAAGCTAAGCAATGCTAATTCAATTCCATTTCATTTAAAGTACTCAACAAAACAACCTAAAAATTTCATGCAAAATTTTACTTGTTTGTCTTTTTTGTTCTTCTTAGTCATTGATTTCGAAGCGTAAGTTATGATCTGAAACATATATTTCATTGCTCAGCACTTTTTTCGCAGTCACAGAACTGTACGAATGGTAAAAGAATTTCTCAATGGAAAGATTCTGATAGTTACACAACGAGACAATAAAAAAGTGTATCAATTTGCGACAGTATAAAAGTTTTGTGAATTTTGACTTTCACTGACCTCATCTGATTTAGGACTTCGAAGAGATAGTGGCGGTGTATTAGACATTTGATTATCCAAGCTTGCCAGAGTTGACCCATCCCAATTGTCTTCGTCATCTCGTCCATACATATCCGTTTTGTTTGAAGATGGCTGCTAAAATTGCAAATTTTTATAACACTAATACACTACAGTACTTAACTGCTGATAAATTAGATAAAAAAATTAATTTGCAACCCAAGAAATAACCTACCATAAACAAAATTAATGATTCATTTAAGAATTGCAAAAAATCTTTCAATCAAATAAGAAGTTAAAAGTCAAAATTTAGTTCAGCACCTCAATATTACTGTTGTCACAGTCAGTTCGACATAATATTTCTTCATCTTGTTCTTTCACTACAAATTCTTCACCAATTGTTAATTTTTTATCACAGCTTGAACAAGTAAAACATTCAGCATGATAGTATGACTCCTTGACTTTCATTACCATATCTGTTCGTGATATGTATTCCTTACAGCGACTACATTTCTTTGCATCTGTTATCCTGAAATTATGATTAAACGTAGTATTGAGAATCAAAAAATCAAATCCACTAACTATTTAATATCTTTCAAAGACAGAATTAAATTATTAGTTAAGATAAAAATCAAAAATCGCAAGAAAATTTATCAATTAATTACACGTTATATTTTAAATTAAACAGTAAGCCGAATTGTGAGAAATGTATTAACAAAAGTACTGAAACATAATCAGTACATTATTACATAAGCCCATTTTATCGCGAATAAAGCTACCGAAAATAATAAATTTTATTAATTATATAATTAAAAACAATCACTATACTTTGCACCGGCTGTCACAGCCTAATATTTTGAATTAATTTTGATTTGATCAAATTTTATAGTACTCCCCCATCATATCCATAATTTAACTTCTTACTTTTGATTCAGAGTTTGGACTTCAGTGCTAAAAGCTTAACTGTGCCATTCAAACAAACCATATTCTCAATTTTGAACATTGAAAATTTATCGTTTTTTTATACAAATTATATTTGTATTTTGAAGATAAAAATTTGACCATCGGAGCCATAAATTTGTGCTCTTCCGCTATAATTTTTCATCATTCACTGAAGAAGAGAACAAAATTGAAAATGGAACAAAATTTTATCCAAAAACTAAAAGATAAAATACTGGTCGTAGCAAAATTTTTATTTATGTTGCACGAGAAATGTTTGTTTTATAACCACACACAAATCTTAGAATCACAGCAGCTGCCTTTTGCAGCAGCCTTCTCAATCATTACTCACTTAGATATTATTTATCAACATAAAACTCTTAATTATTTCTCCTGCAACATTATATATATAATGTTATGTATATAATGTATATATAATGTTATATATATAATGTTATGTTTATATATATATATATATAT